TTGCGTTAATGCCTTTTCCTTCCAGCGACAACGGGCTGAAAACCACTCATACAAGGCGGCAATTTGCTGGGGGAGCTCCGGGAAAGCAGAGTGCTGGCGGTGATCCATTTTTTGCAGCAGCGCCAGATGCTGCGCGATCTGCGTCAGTGCCAGATGACCGGGATCCAGCATCGACGCCAGTTTTTCCACCAATGTCAGACGCAGGCTAAGCGGCGCATTTAACATGCCGCCGTTCGTCCATGTCTGAAGCTGCACGCGCGCAAGAAGTTCCTGCATCAGTCGTTCACGAAACTGCTGCTGATGGGCTTGTGGAAGGCGGGCATCATCGCCCTGCGCCAGATCCACTAAAAAGCGGGGATAAACCGACTCCAGCACGCGACCGGGGCCGTCAAGTAACGTCTTGGTCAATATCGTTCTGCCGTGAAAAGTGTTTGAATATCATCGCGTAACAGCTGGGCGTCGGTGTAAATCCAGCCGTGAGTCATCACAGTCTGCTGCAATTGCTGCTGCATCAGCCTGACCACCGATTCATTTTGTTGACGCAGAGCCAGACTTTCGCGTAAACGCGTCTGTAATTCCGTCAAACATGAAGCGAACTCAGCGAAAAAAGTATTCATGCCTGCCGTAACAGATTCATCGACCTGCTCTGCCAGAACTTTAGCCATTTGTTGGCAATAGAGATCGACTTCTGCGCTTAATGCTCGTTGCAACACACTGTAATCAACCGTTTCTGTCGGTGATTTCTCATTTCCCCGTCCCCAGTCGGGCTGATTCAACCAGCGCGAAAAAGTCTCACGCACAACGCCTAAACGCGTGCTCTGCTCGTCCGTTGCTTCCTGGCGCGAAATGACTTCACTGAACAGCTGGCGAGTGTTGAAGTGGGGAACTACGCCGTGAAAAACAGGAAAATGAAACCCAGGACGAAACCCTGACTCGCTCAATTCCATTTTGACTTGTTGCTCAATGGGGCGAATAACATCGGTTAACACCCGGCAAAGGGTGGATTCCAGCTCGGCAAAACGCAGCGTAAAGTCGCGACTGATGGTGTTCTGCGCCGTCTGTAACAGTGTCTCACAGCGGGTACGAATCTCGCTTAACGGCTCCGAATCATCCTGAAACAAGGCGGCTAACTGCGCATTCAGCGCATCTTGTTGTTGACGCAGAAAGTGGTTGGCGGAGGTCAGGGCCAGCTCGATTTCATGTTTAATCTCGCCGCTCACCTGCGCCTGATTGAGTTGCAATAGCTGCAAACTTTCTTCGACCTGATGGATATTTTGCCGCAATTG